AATCCAATTTGTGGATTATAGTGGGGATTTAAAAGTAATTATAGACCAACAGAAGTCTGTAGTTTGTCATTCATTTCAAACAGAATCATTCTATTAGCATCAGGGTTGTTGAATACTGTAGAATGTGTATCAGAGTGTGTGTAGTAAAGTGAATACTATAGAGTGTGTATCAGAGTGTGTACAGTAAAGTGAATACTATAGAGTGTGTATCAGAGTGTGTATTTTAAAGTGAATACTGTAGAGTGTGTATCAGAGTGTGTACAGTAAAGTGAATACTATAGAGTGTATCAGAGTGTGTGTAGTAAAGTGAATACTATAGCGTCTCAGAGTGTGTATAGTTAAGTGAATACTGTAGAGTGTGTATCAGAGTGTGTGTAGTAAAGTGAATACTATAGAGTGCGTCAGAGTCTTCGTCTTCGTCTTCCTCCGCTTATCCGGGTCCGGGTCGCGGGGGCAGCATCCCAATTAGGGAGCTCCAGGCCGTCCCCTCCCTGGCCTTGTCCACCAGCTCCTCCGGCAGGACCCCAAGGCGTTCCCGGACCAGATTGGAGATGTAACCTCTCCAACGTGTCCTGGGTCGACCCGGGGGCCTTCTGCCGGCAGGACATGCCCGAAACACCTCCCCGGGGAGGCGTCCAGGAGGCATCCTGGCCAGATGCCCAAACCACCTCAACTGGCTCCTTTCGATCCGGAGGAGCAGCGGTTCTACTCCGAGTCCCTCCCGAATGTCCGAGCTCCTCACCCTATCTCTAAGGCTGAGCCCGGCCACCCTACGGAGGAAACTCATTTCGGCCGCTTGTATCCGCGATCTCGTTCTTTCGGTCATTACCCAAAGCTCATGACCATAGGTGAGGATTGGGACGTAGATCGACCGGTAAATCGAGAGCCTGGCTTTCTGGCTCAGCTCCCTCTTCCCCACGACAGATCGGCTCAGCGTCCGCATCACTGCAGACGCCGAACCAATCCGCCTGTCAATCTCCCTATCCCCCCTACCCTCACTCGTGAACAAGACCCCGAGATACTTAAACTTCTCCACTTGAGGTAGGACCTCTCCCCCGACCCGGAGGTGGCAAGCCACCCTTTTCCGGTCGAGAACCATGGTCTCAGATTTGGAGGTGCTGATCCTCATCCCAGCCGCTTCACACTCGGCCGCGAACCTACCCAGCAAGAGCTGAAGGTCAGAGCTGGATGAAGCTAGGAGGACCACATCATCCGCAAAAAGCAGAGACGAGATTCTCCTGCCACCAAACTCGACACACTCCACACCACGGCTGCACCTAGAAATTCTGTCCATAAAAGTGATGAACAGAACCGGTGACAAAGGGCAGCCCTGGCGGAGTCCAACCCTCACTGGGAACAGGTCTGACTTACTACCGGCTATGCGGACCAAACTCACGCTCCTCTGGTAAAGGGACTGAATGGCCCTTAACAGAAAGCCACCCACCCCATACTCCTGGAGCGTCCCCCACAGGGTGCCTGGGGACACGGTCATAAGCCTTCTCCAAATCCACAAAGCACATGTGGATTGGTTGGGCAAACTCCCATGCCCCCTCCATCACCCTTGCAAGGGTATAGAGCTGGTCCACAGTTCCACGGCCAGGACGAAAACCACATTGCTCCTCCTCTATCTGAGATTCAACTATCGATCGGACCCTCCTCTCCAGTACCTTGGCGTAGACCTTTCCAGGGAGGCTGAGGAGTGTGATCCCCCTATAGTTGGAACACACCCTCAGGTCACCCTTCTTAAAGATGGGGACCACCACCCCGGTCTGCCACTCCCTAGGAACTGCCCCCGATGACCACGCAATGTTGTAGAGACGTGTCAACCATGACAGCCCTACAACATCCATAGCCTTGAGATACCCAGGACGAACCTCATCCGCCCCCGGGGCTCCGCCGCTGTGTAGTTGTTTGACTACCTCAGCAACTTCTGCCCCCGAGATCGGACAGTCCATCCCCAGGCCTCCCAGCTCTGGTTCCTCCTCGGAATGCGCATTGGTGGGATTGAGGAGCTCCTCAAAGTATTCCTTCCACCGTCCGACTATAGCCTCAGTTGACGTCAGCAGCTCCCCATCCCCACTGTAAACAGTGTGAGCGAGTTGCTGCCTTCCTCTCCTGAGGCGCCGGACAGTTTGCCAGAACCCCTTTGGAGCCGATCGATAGTGCGTCAGAGTGTGTATAGTAAAGTGAATACTGTAGAATGTGTATCAGAGTGTGTATAGTAAAGTGAATACGATAGAGTGCGTCAGAGTGTGTGTAGTAAAGTGAATACTATAGAGTGCGTCAGTGTGTATAGTAAAGTGAATACTGTAGAATGTGTATCAGAGTGTGTATAGTAAAGTGAATACTATAGAGTGCGTCAGAGTGTGTATAGTAAAGTGAATACTGTAGAATGTGTATCAGAGTGTGTATAGTAAAGTGAATACTGTAGAATGTGTATCAGAGTGTGTATAGTAAAGTGAATACTATAGATTGTGTATTGTGTGTATTATTAAGTTGAGTTGTATTCAGTTATAGGTAATAGTAGCCTGCCATACCCCAGTTTAACCACTAGAGGTCTCTGTTTCCTCGTTGGTTTCCTCCCAGCCTGCTCATTAGTATCCGTCTGTCACTACCACCGCCACCGCCTCCTCCTGCCACGCCACGACGCCCAGGCATCGCATCGGTTCCCCGGCTGTGGCATCACCGCGCGGGGAGGGGCTCCGCTCCCTACTGTAATACCGACCGCTTTACGGTGGGACGGAAGCCACGGAGCGGAGGGAGGATGCCCGTTATTTCCGTTCTTTTCTTCATTTGACTCAATTTCAGCGAACTTCCAGCTTCTGTTTCATGCCTCAGCCTCCCTTTAAAGCCCCAGAACCCTGCTGCGTTTCACCCGAACCGAGATGCGTCCTGATACGCACGGAGACATTGTCCGGACCCCGCGGGGGGAGGAGAAGGAGGAGGAGGAGAGGAGCATGTAACCGGGAGAAACGCACCGGCGGCGGCGGCACCACCTGTCACCGCCTCTTCTGTCGTTATCCTGCTCTGATTTAGCCCTTCCTGATGTGTTGACGGAGTTTGTATTTTGTCGCAGTTTTGGATCTTATCTTCGGCAAAATGAGCGAAGAAGCGTCCCAGGTTCCCAAAGAGCTGCTGGGTAAGATCAGAGCCACGCGTCCCGGCCGGCGTGCTGCTTCCACCAGCTTCATTTCATCTGTGGAAAAACATCCATGGATTTATTCTGGTGTTTTATAAAATAGATTATTGTTATATTTAAACTCGTTCTCGCAAGTTTCCTTTTTGTAACCTAAACATTTTAGGATTTTAGGGGAACAGCTGAGGAGAATGAAGCTGCTCACATAGTGCGGACTTTGTTTAGGGTTAGGGTTAGATAAGTGGTTTATGTGTGACTGTCAGGACTATTTTCCCCCCAGAAACCCAGGATCTGCATGTTCTCATTGGCAGGCTTCTTATTCCATTACCGTGTTTCTGCTTCTGAGTCGCGCAGCTGTGGCTTTATTTAGGAAAGTAAATCAGTGACTGAAAACGTCAGTGTCACGTTGGCCAAAGCTGTCTCTCTTTATGTGGCACAGGCCAGGAGACAGGCCACTCAGTTTTGTCACAAAACAATGGTTGGTTATAGACATCACCCGATCAGGTGAGAAATGAATCAACCCCCCTTTCGTTTTTCTCCTGATGGTTGCGATGCGATTCCACTCAGAGCTGAGTAAGTTTCATTATAAGACGAAACATGCATGGTTTCCGATCATGTGGTGGTCAGTTTGAGATTTTACCTCTTTTAGACTCGCACAAAGAACATATGAAGCACATGTGACGAGACTGAGGTGATCATTGAAGTGAAACACGGTGGTGAATGTCCAGATGCAATCACCAGCCACTTTTATTAGGTACACCTAGCTAGTACTGCTGGGTCAGACACCCTTTTGTCTTCATAGTTCCACTGCATCCTGAAAGTTCTGGACTGGACTGCGATGTGGCGACTGGAGTCCAGGGAACACATGGTCATATAGGAACCAGTTAGATGATCTGATCTCTGTGAAATTGTGTCATCCTGCTGGAAGTGTCATCAGAAGGTGGGTCCATGTGGTCATAAAGGGATGGTCATGATCATCAACAATACTCAGTGAGGCTTGGGTGGTATAAGGGACACCTAAACCACTACAGCAGCAGCAGCCTGAAGCGTTGATACAAGGCAGGACGGATCCATGATTTCATATTGGTGCCACTATAATCTGACCCGACCATCTGCATGGTGCAGATCCAGACTCGGGATCAGGAAAGGTTTTTCCTGTTTCATCTGGTGAATTAGAACGTCCGTTTCTTATTCTTCGCTGGCAGGAGAGACACTTGGTGTGGTCTTCTGCTGCTGGAGTCCATCTGCTCCATGCTGGGTTCAGAGATGCTGTTCTGCAGACCTACGCTGCTGTTGTTGTCATATCATCTAGAACCGGTCTGACCAGTCTCCTTTGACCTCTCCACTTCTAGACTCATAATGCAGAGCTGCTTCCATGTGATTGGCTATTTTTGTTAACCAGTTGAATAGATGTGGCTAATAAAGTGGACAGTGGTTTAATATGGTCAATCCATTGGTTGCTTGTGTTGAATGTAAGCATCTCGTCCCACTGGGTTCTTTCCCAGTGCTTGTTGCCTTGCTGGACCAGTTCTACACACTTAACATAAGACATCGAGTACATCTTGAGCTATTGTCTGGAGAAGTAAAGCCAGCCATTGTTGGGCACATTTGCTGCTGCATGTGATTCTGCATCATGTATGATTCCACTTGGCATTCAGCACGTAGGGGAAATGCCATCACGATGGCACCGACACAACTAAATCTGTCTCTGACCGCTAAGAGCTTAGTTTGAGATTTTCCTCTCATACACTGATGAGCAGCATTTTATTGTTTACCTCATAAGAGCCTCCATTCGACCGAAGGAGAGTGTTTAAGCATCAGGAGCTCGGTAACTTGGTGCACACTCTAAATGAGAAACAAGTCAAACTATTTTTGGTCTCTGGAAAACAATTTTTTTAAGATGAGAGAAATAAGAATGGGGGCTCGGGTCAACAGACAGGGAAAGCTGCACACTTGAACGGTTTACAGCTTCATGCTGCGTTCGAGAAAACGGGGATTCAGTTGCATCGTCTGAACAGTGATGAAACAGTTTTATCTCCGTGTGCAGAGCCTTTTCTACATGCCTTTCCCTCAGGGTGGTGCATCTGCGTATGCCTGCCTGAAAGCAGGCTTCTGCTGTGAGAGATACGTGCTGAAGTAACAGCATCAGAAGAAAATGTATGGCGTTTAAAGCGTGCCACAACCCCTGCACGCGCATTGGGTCCACAGCGCGCGTGTGAACGGGACTCGCGAGCGAAAATATACATGGCAGCGCGCGCGTGAACGGGACTCGCGAGCGAAAATATACATGGCGAGAGGTCATTTGTGCACTGAGAGGGAGCAAACTGTGTCTGTGAGCGCACAAGGATGTGCACAAGTGACAAACCTGCGTGCGCGCGTTGCCAACGAGCACACGGCAGAGGAAAACGTGCGCGCGCGGCAGCCTCTCTGCGCGCTCGGCAGTCTCTGCGCACTCGGTTTCTAATTCCGCTCGCTCGGCTGTGAGGGCTTTTGGCACTCTGGAGGCGTGGCCTGTGGCAGATCTTCCCTGTCCTCTGATTGGTTAGTTTACCCCGCACTTTACTCTCTACCTATCTATATTAAAAAAATCTGAGATTCAGCAGTTGCTGTCATAGCTCAGCTGGGAGAGCGGGTGACTCTCACTCTGGAGGATCCAGGTTCGAGTCCGGCCAAGGAACATAGAGTTGATGTCATATTATTCTTTCCTAATTCCTGTGATATTATTTTACAGTTGTGACCGTTCAACTGTCATTAAACGTCCGAATGTTTGCTGGGCAGTGTTTTAAAAAGTGCACATAAGCTAGATGGTTTAAACCAGGTAAAAATAGACTTGTGGGTGTAGGTATGTTCAACTTTAAAAAGTTCTTGCCTCATTAATGTATTGTTTATTTTTTTCAGCATTTAATTGACAAATTATCCTTTCAAATAATTAATTGATGAGTTACATAATTGTCCATTTAGAATTGTTGAATGGACTGAGTCAAGTTTGGTGCACTTTATATATTTCAAAACATGTTTTTTTATTTTAATTATGCATATAAATAATTTTAATGTTAATTTATTGAAATATTTCAATTTTTTCATTACCTCACCCTTGTTTTGACAAAAACAAGACCTTGCTGGATAATATCACGGAGAAACTATTTGTTCACAGTACTTGGCTCAGTGAGGATCTGTGTACCAAAGGAGGAGATACTCAGAAATCTCTGCAGATTGTTACAACCCAGACTGGAAGTGGTGGGCTGTAATAAGAAAGGAGACCAAACAGAGGAGTGTGGGGTTCAACAACTGATTTATTTAACCAAAGTAAGGATTTACTAAAGCAAGTTAGTGAACAGAAAATGGCCAGTGAGGACTCTCCACCACACAGGAGAGACCCAGTGAAAGCAGAAAAACAGTAGGCTTTGTAGGCAGCACCACACCCTGAGCCCAGGTGCCTCCAAGGCTGCTTAACGAGCTGCCTACAACAGAAGAAAAACACAATTAAACACAAATGAAAACCCAATGAGACGGTGGGGGCATCACAACACGTTCAGGACTACCCAAACACCAGTAATTCTTGACTGCACTGATCTGAGGTGTCAATGGCCATATTCCCCTCTCTTCCAGAGTCATATATTTTCCTCAAGTTCAACTGCACTCTGAAGAGGCTCATTTGGATTGTGCCACATAGGCCAGTGACCTTTGTCTCAGCACTGTATGCTGGAACTATCAGCGACCAACCTGGGAATCTGGTGTGTTGAAAATGCTACAACTAGAGATGGTCATCATGGTAGACAGGGGTTTCTTCATTGATGACATTGTGCCCTGCAAAGTGTACAGGCCAGCTTTTCTTTCTGGCAAACCTCAAATGTCTGCATGTGAAGTTAAAGAAACAGAAGCCATAACATCTCTGAGTGCATGTGGAGCGCTCCATTCATCTGGTCCAAGAACACTAGGTTTTTGATTGTTATTCCCCTCCTTGCATTTGTAAACAATCAGCTATATGCTGTGGTTTTTCTCCTTACCAACTTTTAAAATAGCCCACTAGTGAAGGCCTGGGCAAAGAAGCCTGATGTCTGAGAACCTCAACATATGTACGGCAACCACACTGCATATTTACACACTTTCATAAAGAAGCTGCATATCAAGCTTTCATTCAGATGACCTTCAACAGTGCTGCACCCTGCAGAGGGACATCCGAGTAAAACCTTGAGATGGCCATTTTCTGTTCACTAACCTGCTTTAGTAAATCCTTACTTTGGTTAAATAAATCAGTTGTTGAACCCCCCACTCCTGTTTGGTCTCCTTTCTTATTACAGCCCACCACTTCCAGTCTGGGTTGTAACAATCTGCAGACAGATTTCTGAGTATCTCCTCCTTTGGTATACAGATCCTCACTGAGCCATGTACTGTGAACAAATAGTTTCTCTGTGATATTATCCAGCAAGGTCTTGTTTTTGTCAAAACAAGGGTGAGGTAATGAAAAAATAGAAATATTTCAATAAATTAACATTAAAATTATTTATATGCATAATTAAAATAAAAAAAAACATGTTTTGAAATATATAAAGTGCACCAAACTTGACTCAGTCCATTCAACAATTCTAAATGGACAATTATTTAACTCATCAATTAATTATTTGAAAGGATAATTTGTCAATTAAATGCTGAAAAAAATAAACAATTCATTAATGAGGCAAGAACTTTTTAAAGTTGAACATACCTACACCCACAAGTCTATTTTTACCTGGTTAAAACCATCTAGCTTATGTGCACTTTTTAAAACACTGCCCAGCAAACATTCGGACGTTTAATGACAGTTGAACGGTCACAACTGTAAAATAATATCACAGGAATTAGGAAAGAATAATATGACATCAATTCTATGTTCCTTGGCCAGACTCGAACCTGGATCCTCCAGAGCGAGAGTCACCCGCTCTCCCAGCTGAGCTATGACAGCAACTGCTGAATTTCAGATTTTTTTCATATAGATAGGTAGAGAGTAAAGTGCGGGGTGAACTAACCAATCAGAGGACAGGGAAGATCTGCCACAGGCCACGCCTCCAGAGTGCCAAAAGCCCTCACAGCCGAGCGAGCGGAATTAGAAACCGAGCGCGCAGAGGCTGCCGAGCGCGCAGAGAGGCTGCCGCGCGCGCACGTTTTCCTCTGCCGTGTGCTCGTTGGCAACGCGCGCACGCAGGTTTGTCACTTGTGCACATCCTTGTGCGCTCACAGACACAGTTTGCTCCCTCTCAGTGCACAAATGACCTCTCGCCATGTATATTTTCGCTCGCGAGTCCCGTTCACGCGCGCGCTGCCATGTATATTTTCGCTCGCGAGTCCCGTTCACACGCGCGCTGTGGACCCAATGCGCGTGCACGGGTTGTGGCACGGGTCTGACGCGATAAAAATGGTTTAGAGGAGTCAAAAGAATGACATTTTATAGATGTTAGAACTGTTGCAGAAATCTCAAAACACTGTTCTTTATTGACAAGTGCACAGAAGCTCAGAATTGGACGTAATTAAGAGATTTTGTAAAGGCTCTGGGTTGAGTAAAATAGACGGTTGATAGGTTTGAGAGCTGCTTGTGTGAGCTTTAACTTTACCACTGCGCAGTGATTTCCTTCATTTCTCTGCACATACCTGAACACATTTGTCTATTTAAATCACACAGTCTCTGTTTTGATGCTGCAGAAGGAAAAGGTGCACCTTTTTTTGAAGAGTTTATTTAAAAGGCTCAAGGCTGGCAGATGAACCATTTTAGCACACTACCTAATTATTAGTTTCACTTTGATCTGACGACGGTGGGAGGAAGCCTGTAGGCGGGGATTTGTGCATGCCAGCACAGCTCCGCTCTCAGAATCCCTGTCTATGTCAGAGACGTGCGTGCACACTCCGTTGTAAGTCAGCTGGTGTATGAATGAGCAGCGTGAAGCGGCGGCTGACCCAGTTCTGCGCTTTAAGTGTGGCAGTTGACTGGGTGTTAACCATCAATCCAAACAGAAAACTCTATGCATCTGTTTTCATGCATCTTTTTCACATTATAAAGTGCAAATTTAATCACTTTTAAATAATCTGCAGGTTTTATCCAAGAACGACATCCAGACTCTGGATGGAGACTGATTGTGCGTTGGGATGGCTGAGCCAGAGTTTGTTAGCAGGAATAATCTTGTTGGACAAGATGGAAGATAAGCTGGAAAAACTGGAGAGTAGTTGGGCCGACACTTTAGTCACCCTCTAGCATCCATTAGCCTAAAACCTGATGGCAGCAGCCTTTTAACCCAGTGTAGGTTGATTACGGATAGAGCAAATGTCAGTGTTGAGGATGATCAAAAGGTTTCATCCTGCAGGATTACACTCTAGAAAGTGTGTACTGAATAAAATAACCTGATGTTTTTAATGTTTTATTGGGAAAATGACATGAGCAGGGGACATCTGGTGGGAGGAAAGCAACTATGGGGTAACAGCAGATAGAAGAAGAAGCATGGGGTGGGTGGGGGTGGGGGGCAGTGTGGATTAAGTGGCCTTGGAGGATTTGTTTAGACTTTTCTCAAAACCATCCTTACATAAGCTTAAATGTAACACTGGTCTTTAGTTTTAGTTTGGTCTGGTGTCATCGTTTCCGTTTACAGCATTTCCTGACTGTCTTTGGGAACGAGTAAAGGTCACTTACACCTGAAGTCAGTTTGAAAACCCTCCTGGAGGGGGACGTCGGCTGGCACACCACCTCCAAACCTTCTCCCTCTCCTGACATTATTATTTTTAAAATTTCATTAAGATAAAATGCTCTGACTAGTTTATATGGTGTGTGTGTGTGTGTAAAGGCTGGTTTATGCTTCTCCGTCTGCGTCAGTGCGGAGACACGCAACGCCATTATCCGTCGTTGCGTAGGGATCCGGCAGGCACGCAAGTACGTACGGAGTCGAGCCCACTTTTTTAAGCATCCGTCGAACGAGACGGAGAACGCAAGCTTGTGATTGGTCAGGACGCCGCTGTTGTTTACAGCGCCGCCATTGCAATACCTCGCGAAAAAACTCTAAAAATATGAACGTTTAATTCTCCCGTGACTGGAGGAGTGAAAAGATGCGCAGCAAGCGTTTTATTTGTGGACGGAAATGACAGGAAACGTGGGTTTAGAGGTGGGGAGCGCTAGCCTAGTGAACTAGACCAAATTCTTGCTTTGCAAAGTTTGGTCTAGGCATGCTCCATTGGAACCTCAGCAGCTCCTACCAGGACTCTGGCTAGCCAATCACAGCTCTCTAGAGGGGTTTCAAACACATAAAGAGCTGTGATTGGTCCATAATGGTGGGCCAGTCATAGTGCTCTATCTGCTTAGTGAACAAATCACAGAGCTTTATCCGCTTTGTGGGCCAATCAGGGCACTCTATATGCCTGGTGGGTGTGATGATGCAACAGAGTGAAACAAGAGTATGTCACATTCATTGTTCAGTGGAATGCGGAGGTCATTTGAAAGACAACAGTAGAACCCGCCCCACAACCAAGAGCCGTCAATGGAGCATGGCCAGACTAAATAATACATTTATTTAGTCTGGCTTGCCAGGCTAGGGGAGCGCATGAAGCGGTGGGAGAATGAGAGACAAATATGTCCATATTAAAATTCTCTTATATACACAAAAAACACAATATAAACACACTATCTTGGACCGATACATGACAGGATACCACAGAACAGTGCTACGCCCTCTGTTGTCCTGCCGGGCAATTGCTTTCTCCAGGAGATGGAGAAGTAAAAGAGCAAAACGCTTCCGTCAATCCGTGCGTGTCTGTCCCTTGCGGAGCTGACGGAGAAGCATAAACCAGGCTTAAGTGCGTGCGTGCGCGCGTACCTCCCCAGTAAGTCATGACAGATGGCTGCTCACACTGAACCAGGAGCTGCTGGAGGATTCTTCCTATTAAAGGGGAGTTTTCCTCTCCACTGTTGCTACATGCTTGTTTAGTATGAGGATTGCCGTAAACCAGGGGTCCTCATCTAAATTTGTTCAAGGACTGGAGTTTTTTTCCATCTGACACAGTGAGGGTCAGCTGCTCTTCTAAAACAAGTTCAAGTGTTATTGTATCTTAATTTATTAATATTTAAAATGGCTTTGTTTCCCATCTAAACTGCTTTGATTGTAGTTGTAATGGGTTTGAAGAACGTAAACAATGATTGATATTTGGGATATGAACTATGCTGCTAAACTTCAAAGTCCCAAAGTGTTGGGGGGGGGGAGGTGAAAGGGCCTGCGGGCCACCAGTTGAAGTTTACTGCTGTAAAGTCTCTAACACAACAAGTCAGTGACTTGATGCAGTCTGCTGGGTTTTCGTACATAGGGATCTTAACTAACTAGCATAATGAACTGAGCTCAATGCGCTGATGAGTCGGTTTGAATGGGAATGATAACATTGTAAAAAGCCAAGAGACGACTGGTATGGATTCGGCTCTTTGTGAACTCACTAGTGACAGTTTTCATGCGTCCACATTTTGGCAAATCCAACACTGAACCAGTTTCACGAAACTTAGCAAGCAGTTTGCTAACTGTACCATGGGAGATGGGTGGTCTCGTAGGGTGTCTTGCATTGAAATCTGCTGCAATGACCCGTTCACCAGACATTCACACAATTTTGATCCGCTCCTCACGTGATTAACCTCTTCGACATGTCGATGGCTGTGAACAGAGAGAAACTTGTAAATAACTCATGAAAGAATAACGACTTCTCAGTAAAACGTTTAATAGTTTACTCTGTGGTTGGCTGCACTAAGAGACGTCATTAGATGCAACGTCGCATTTATACCTTATTGAAATCAAACAAATTTACTTGAAATTTGGATTTAAAATGTATGAAGAGTTAGTTACTGGTAGATCTGAGCAAATACTGGTTGTTAGCATTAGCAAGATGGCCAGCTTCAAAATGGCCACCACGGTCACCACCCATCTTGGAAAGTTTGCCCCCTCACATATGCTAATGTGCCACAAACAGGACGTTAATGTCACCAACCATTCTCATTTTATTGAGGTGTATCCATAGAAATGGCCCACCCTGTAGAAATATTTCAGCATAAAGATACTATAATTGAAGTGAAAAAACTTTTTGGGTACTTGTATTTACTAGAAAATGGTTGTAACCTCCCTCAAATGTAGAAAATGGCCTGTACTCTCAGAAGGAGGATTTTTGAAGGATTGAAGCCTTTTTCACGTGGTCCATAAAAATTGGATTTGGTAAATTTTTCATCAAGTACTTATGTTTTTTTCTAATTAGCAGAAATAGAAACCCGTTTGCCCCTGTGGCAGGAGCACACTTATCTGTGTCAGCTGAACGAAGCAAAGCAGAAATGAATATTTATGTCATTTATACATCCACTTTCCCCTCAGCTGGGCCTCTGCAGTTTCCCCCTCTTTCCTTTCTCCTCCTCCTCTTCAATATCAAAAGGAATTGTAGGCTTTGAGACTACGAAATGTCAGATTTTCCACTCGAGTCTGAATCTCTCCTCGTTTTATCTTTCCTCTGCTGTCTGTAGAGAGTGTGAGGGATGCGGTGGGGAGGAAGGTGAAGTTGTCACTGAGGAAAAGAGTCAAACTGGAGATCAAAGGAGACAAGATGGAGAACAGAGTCCTGGTGAGTCAACAGTCACTGTGTGTCTTCTTTTCTACGACTTGTCTATCTTTTCCTGAGATGTATAGCTTTTCCTGAAGATCACAAGTCTGCTTTTCTCAAGTTCTGAGAAGCAGTTCTCACCAGAAAATATGAAACTTATGTTGTCTTTCCAAGTGAAAATGTGTCTGTAAGTGTCATTCATGATCACAACTCTGTATGAAAACTCTTCAGAGCAGGTGGAAACTGCAGCCTTAAAGTAAATCCACCAGCTGCTAAATAATGAATACCGGCTAGACTATTAAAATTGCATATCTGGGAGGAAGAAGGGTGATGAGATGAAGTTCTCATTTCACCTCAGTGTCTGAGTCGGGTCAATAAGGTTGTATCAGAAAGCTTTTAGCTGCCAGTGATTTTGACTGTAGTTTGTGTGACTCCATGGAATCAACATAAGCTCTCTAGTTTTACAACCCACGGTGGAGGTTTTTAGCTTTACTGCTCTGCAGGAAGAACAAGAAAAGACTAGCTCACCCAAGCTTTCTCCTTTACATATTTAGACCAGTGAGTGTCTAAATAATGGTGCCATCCGGTGTAGGTTTCAGAAGAGATGAATTTAATGACTCCACCAGCGCCATCTTGGCTATGCCACCACATGCCCCCCACCCCCCCACCCCCTTCCTCCAAAGTCAATTTTTGTCCCCTGCACTTTTTACCATCCGAAAACAAAATTACTCTATGTTAACACTGGCTGAGCACTTGGACCAAGCATAAACCAACCACTTGTGCTGAAGCCCGCTTCCTATTAGCTATAACATTTTTTTTTTACTTACTGTAAAAGTGTCCCCCCACAGTCCTCGTGCCGGTCCCCCCCCCCCCCCACACACACACACACTTCTAAAGTCGAAACTACGTGCACTGAGCCAATGTAGCATCAAGCTAACCAAAGCTAAAGGTGGTTGATGGGTGCTTTTAGCTGGAAAACCGAAGTTGAGCAACTCTGCTTCCCTCTGCCTTTCCTGGAGGTAAGCCGCTAATGCTAGTGCTGGCAGTAGCACTGATGGCTCATCTACTACCAGTCAGTTAAAATTACGCCACTCTAGCTATTTGTCAAGCTTTAATTACTTCTAAATGAATGAGTTACAAAAAATGAACTCCCCTCAGAGTTGTCATGACTGTAAACCAGACCTATTACAGGCACACTTGGCAGTTTAGGCTTGCTTTTAGCACCCCCTGGTGTCCGTTTAGTAGAACCAAAAGCAAAACTTACCTCCTCACTGTGCATTCATTTTTTTAACACCTTAATCTAACTGCTGGAATGTCTCCCAGCCTTCCTTGATGTCTACATGAGTGATGCATCACAAAATGAAATAAATCAGCTGTGTTCATGATCTAAAACATGCAGGAAACTTGTTGGAACAAGACCGTTTTGGTCTGCTCAAGTCTGAAGTTGCAAGTGAATATTCTGGCCTCAGGGGCAATAGGGGCTGGGTGACATTTCATTAATCCTGTAAAAGGTCATTTTTAGCACATACTGGCTCAAGAAAAAGATTTAAAATATGAAAAAGTCACCTAGTATACCTTTGAAACCTAAAAAGCTTTTTGTTCTAGGCTGTAAACATGTTTATTTCTGCTGTGAAGTTGCCATTTTTAACTTGAGAGTCAATGGGAGCTTGCTCCTTTCTGGAGCCTGCCCCCTACTGGATGGGAGGTGAACTGCAGTTTTTGTCACTCTGCATTGGCTTCACTTTTGGCGTGCAGATCATCTCTGTGGATTTGGACAAATAATAATAAATCTATAACGACACAATTCATTTTGACTATAAAAAGTAATACACTTTAGAGCAGCGGTTTCCAAAGTTGGGCTGAGGACACTAATGAGGGTCACCAAGAGCAACACGGGAGTCTTGAGATGATTTCCTGAAATTTAAATAAAATAGAAAAACAATTGCTATATTGAAGTTATATTTCTTGCATAATTGTTGCAAAAACTCAAGTCATAAATAGATATACGTGAACATGGGATGAAGCATTCTTTATGCCCTGAATTATTTATTTTTAAGCATGCTTGTGTTTTTCATTATTTTGTGAAGACGAAACATTTGTGAACTATCGCTGCAGAGGATTGTAAAAACGGTGAACGCGATCTGCCAGCGCACAGTCTGAGCTTGGTAAATGATCTCTGAGTGGCCGAGGTGGCAGGGTGTGGGTTAAGAGGAGGATATACAGGAAAATTCAGTTGTAAGCATTTTTTTATTACTCTTTTAATTTTGAGCTACAACGGATTATTTACCTAAAACGTTACGAATTAGAGAATAATGTATTTTCCTGAGCTAATCAACTCATGTAGGGCGGTTGGTCTGAACTGTGAGCCAGATAAGATTCTACCCAACAAATGTTTACATTTCAAACAAACAACAAGTTGAATAAAGCCAAACTTTCGCCCGTTGGATTATAGGAGTTTTGCTAATTAACCATTTACCAAACCTTGTCATTTGTGTTTTATTTGTATATGACTGCATATTTTTGCAAACTTTAAGACTGAATGTGTGATTGCTAAACATTTCCAAGTTAACTTGACTTCTGCAAATCTTCCTAAGACCCTCCACCTGGTTTTCATGAAGGCCCATGGGACCCTGATCCTTATTCATCGGTCCTTAATTGCACGACTCATGCACCGGTGAGATCAAGCCACTCAATACATTTTGCTGTCCTTTCTAATCTGTATTTTGCCACACATTGAGCCCCTGTGTAATTATTGCATTCAGCATTGGCTTAAGAACTACAAACAGAATTAAATTAATATTTTAATAAAGTAGTTTTAAATATATTTTCTTTATTCTTACTAACAGCAGCCAAGTTTCACCAAAATTGTGCAGATCTGCTTTCCTTTTGTGTCGGGAATCTGGGCTACTCTGGGAATGAAGTGGGTCTTGATTTAAAGGTGTTTTGTTGGATTTAGAGGTCAGATTTTGACTCTAAACTTTTGTGGTGAACAGTTGTCCTTACCAAATGTTACCAACTCTGCATCTGTTCGACATCCCAGCTGAACGTGGAGATCCTTCTACCGTCGTAGAGCAGCTCCAAGGTACATTCTTGGTCGGTCTTTGGCGCTTTTCTTCAAGTTTAGTCCGTGGGGTTTTCATTAATTTGTCTGTCTTCAAGTAAAATCAATAGTTTTCCCTTTCTTCTTCTAGCAGCTGTGAGGCGTTTGTAACTGCTCCATCATCAGCTGTATCTTTGTGAACAACTTAACACCACCACTCACTCCCGGTCTGTGATTGACATCTGTACATAATCGGATGTCTGACGCTATTGGCTAATGCTGAGTGCTGGTCAAGTAAATTTCCGTTGGATTCAATGGGACAGGAGAAGGGCTTAGCAAAAAACTGACATATTGCCTGCATTATCTCACAGAACAGGATTATGGATTTCTAAAGGAAAATCACATCTGAAACAGGGAGATTTTTCCTTTAAATGCAGATTATTTAGCAAATACACCCACAACATCATCATTTTAATAATTTGGTGGTTCTCCTTGTAGGAATAAACATGGTTTGGTCATAGCAGCAGCGTTGTGTTGTGGGAGCGGGACACAGCAGCACATTCCCACTAAACAATGTAAAGATGTAGGAGTGACGACTGGGAAGTGAGGAATTCCAGTGGAGCATGAGTGTGAGGCCCAGTGCAGGAATTTGTGTCAGTGCTCTGCTTGACTGAACTGAACAAACAAACCAACTGTTTGTTGTTGCAGAAAAGGCCGAGTTTGAAGGGCCAATTATGGAGGAAGTGGCTGAGAGAGAAAGCAAACGTATCACGGAGCCGTAACCTTCATCTAAGACACGATGAAAGAGCAATGCACTATTCACTGATGGTTTGGAGATCGCGTGTTGGGATCAACGTTTCTAGAATGTCTCATAAGTTTTCAAACATGTTGCAGCGACATGTTTAAACATCACTTCACTGAGTTTACTCTTAGCTGAACAATTGCAGATCCTATCAATGTTAAACTACGTGGTCACGACAAAGAAATGACACCAATGATAAAAATACATCAGTTTAAGCGTGTCCTGTTCTATATAAGTCACAAGTTTACAATAAGCAAAATATTCAAGTACATTTATCCGCATGCTTACATTTGGTCTATTTGGACATTAGATCTTCTTGGTCTCTCTCCTCTAAAGAAGAAAATCAGTCTCAGTGTGAAGATGGACTCAAATCCTGTACAGTTTCCTTTGATGTAACCGCCAGGTTCATCATTGGGATCAGAGGAAAATAGAAATAACCCCTTTCCTTCTCTCAATCACAGGAATTAGTGATTCTAGAGATTCACCTCTGACTAGTCCCGCTGTATAAAGTCACCCTATGATGCTGATAGTTAGCATCACCACTTACAGTTTACACATCCAAACGCCATCATTAGAACCCCTTTAGGTTACCATGATGACTGAGAACCTTCACCAGCAGTCTGCACATATTTATGAATAACTCCCTTAAAGCTTCTTTCCGGAGTATTTCTCTTATCCGATGGCACCATCTAGTGGCCGACAAGCATACCACACTCCTTCCGTTTTTTTAAGATGGCAGCTTCACGTTTCTGTCTATAAATGTGCTTCTGTAGCCGACAAACAGCTAAAACACGTTGTTTTACGAGTATTATTCTCATGTCACGCTGTGTTCTCATACATTTATATTTTAGAGACTTTCTTGTCTGTGAAAACTTCATCAACTCTGCATCGGCCGAGGTATTCCTTAAATTTGAAGCAAGTAAGCGGTAGTCGCTCAGTTTCCTGTTGCACGGAGCTCTGCGGGGCAGGGGGTGTGCTTAGCAAAAAAAAAAAAAACTAAAGTAAATAAAGATGTATTGCTTACATTAGATCACAGTACATGATAAGAGAATCACTTTTACGGATTTCTGACAAATCATACATAATTTCTGAAAGGGGAAAACTCCAGAAAAGTACTTTTAATGCAGGACTGAGCCAGCTGTTGCTTTCCAGGCGGTAAATTCATTAGCAGAGCCAAAA